CAAATATATCATATTAAAGGAAGAAGAACGGACATAAGTACGAAACAAATTAAAAATTATATCGAATATGAATGAATTAAGCTGAAAATAGCATTTATTTTTCCCAAAAATTTATCTTATGTAAAATAGAGCATTGAAGATTATGCGAAGAATCACTTGGCGAATTGGCCTGCAAACAAAACTGTATCGGAATTCCTAACAATTGCAAAGAGGAATGGCTGATCAGCGATGAATGGCTTAGATTCCATTAACATGCGGGGCACTATATCAATCACGGTCGCAGCCGCTGATTCCGTTCCTTTTTCATTCACCTGTAAGTAAATAACCGAATCCATGATATTTTACTATTTCAAAAAGCTGAAGCTCATTAAAAAGATCTCGTTATATCTGATTTTGGTAATTTTCCGCCAAAATTCTTATTTCATCATAAATGTCGGAATATCCGAAGCACGATTCTACCATGTAGTCATGATTGACACCGAGTTGTATCGTTTTCCCTTCTTCATCTATATTAACTTTCCAAGGATAAAAAAGCCATTATGACAGTATAGAGTTCTACCTATTGATCCACCATCTTGATCTTATGTTGTAAATCTCCTTTGTTGATACTATGTATATGTATTTGCTATACAGGCGCTCATATCTTCATCCAAGAGTTCTATTCATTGCCTTAATCTACATCTATTAGGTCTCATTGTTTCATTTCTCCATTTGATTTTAAATTAGTTATCGTTCTAAATATTTTGTTGGCTAATAAAAATATTTCATTTAGCGTTCTTATATTGCATTCGCTATTCGTAACCACAACTCAAAGGATTCGAATTATACAGCAATACTTCAAAGGAAGAAAGTTCTTCATTTTCTCAACAATATTTTTGATTCAATTTCCGTTTGTGTCCTTTTATGACAAACTTTTGCAACAAAAACTACCGCAAACCTCAATGAAGCCTTTGTGCATAACACCACCAACGAAAACTGCGTCATCAGTAAGTTCTCTGAAATTGGCTCTTTCACTAAAAGCATCCCTAATGCCAATTCTCTGTAAAGTTCCTTTCAAATCCAATTTTGCTTCCAAACGGAACCTCGGTAATTTAAGCTGAAATTCGAATAACCATTAAATCGACAAAATAAAAATTCTGAAATCCTCAAAATGAATACACTAACACTTTTAACAAAAGAAATAAACATTGCGTGAGTATTTTACCAATACGATGTCTGGCACAGCTCTATCAACATATGAGAGTAGATATTCGCCTGTCATGTTTTTTAGAACATTGGCTATGTTAAAGCGTATTTTTGGCAATATGAGAACCATTTCTACTTCATCACCAACATAAGGCAATTTGACAACTTGCACAGAATCATCTTCATAATACGGGAATTTTGCTCTTAATCTCATCATCAATACCTGAGAGAACAGAAATGATAACGATAGAGGAAGAAAAAGACATATTCATGTTTTGCGAGCAAGCAACATATTTTAAAATGAACAGTTGAAAGCTTCAAATTATGACATTCGAGGGAATATTCACATTTTTCGTTTCGCATTCCGAAATGTGAAATGCTTCATTACGAGTCACTGTATCATCAAATTGTGTCTTCCAAATTCCACCGAAGTAAATTGCATTCAGTAGTAATATTACGATGTCCTTATTGACATCGTCTGCTGTTATTAGCTCCGTTATTTTACTCCTAGTCTTTTCGGACACCCCAGTTTATTAATTTCCTGAAGCAGAATTGCATTGTTGTTATCTGCAATAATAGAATAGATAGATAG